AATTACCGCTGCACAAATGGACCGACCTTTGTTTGACAAAAGGACACAGAGACAGTAAACTCATAAAAAATCGTAGGAAATTAAGCGGTCATTTAATAGTTATATTTTTTATCAAGTCAAAGAATGCCTTTGGCATTGCTTCTTTAGCAACAAATATGCATCGGTCAATTCGCCTATATTCGTAAAGTCGGTAGCTCGCCCTTTCATCCAAAAACCTTACTCCTTGAATATGGAATTGGTTTTTCACTTTTCTATTTTGCAAGTGCATTCTCATCATGCATGATAGCTTTTGTTCATCTGCCCTATATTTTGGCGAACTTGGCGCATATTTAAGTAACAAGCCCAAATTAAGCTAACCAATTTCGACGCACGATCTTTCAACAGAATCGTCCAGTTTCGACAGAATCCACAAGACAGAAAAGCTAACCCATAATTTCCCCAGTACCCGATTTTAGAGCGCACTGCACCGCTTCTTTGCTGCCAGTTGCCTAGGGTGACCATTTAAACAAGCCACAGATTCGTGGTCTTTGGACATTTACGGTGTCAGAGCTATCTGCAGTCGTTTTATTCCTTAGAGCAATTTCGTGCACATTGCGAACGATGTTCCGGGAGCTGGTACTATTTATCTGCTTCTGCCTGAACATCGAAATATGTTCGAAGCCGACGTATTTTAAATAGCGCATTACTCCTATATGAGCAGATCTGACGGCATATTGCACCACCTCTTGCTCCTAGTTTCGCAGGGGTCCATCTACTAGATACGAAAACTGTTTTACGAGGGTATCTTCTTTTAACGGCTTTAACTTCAACGCCAAAGCAGCATGCTTTTTTTTACAAAGCGGAAGTGACGAATTTCAAGTTCAGGTTCGTTGACCTCACTGCAGGGGATTAGGCACCGAAGACGAGTTTAATGCTCTCAGATTCAGTTGTAGTTGCTTCATTCGTTATCTTGCGTATGGCCCTAGTTACTATTTGTTCAGGCGCAATTTCGATAACCAAACGACGAAGTAGTATATAAGGTATTACTGCGTTATAAGAATCTTTAAGCCGAGAGACTTTATAATCTTCATGGCTATCTTAATGAAAATATAGAATACGGTGCAGAATCCTTAGCTTTAGCACGCCATTGCCACTATCCTGAAGAAGCTTGTTGTCATTGACGATACCCTGACAGCAATAACAATTTTCTCATTATCGTCAGCGCCTGAAATTCAATGCATTACAGAAAAAGACAAGTATCGACGTGCATTGAGAGCAACGCCATTTTGTAATGTCATGGATAGACAGTTATTTGGCTGCAATTTTTGGATCTGTGTCGGGGATCAAATATTTTAGCCCTTCTGCAGGTATTTTGTTTTACCGCCCATTTTGATAAGAGAAAAGACAATATGATTTTTAGCTTTTTCTTAGTGATGCTTACTCATTTTCTTTCTTTCAGACATTGTTCAAACCTGCGGTACGGAGATGGCGAGAGCGGTGGAAAAATGTGCTAAGAACCTAAGTGCTTGGGAAGAAATATGCAGCTGTAAAGGTGACTATTGTAACACGATGCATTTCATGAAAGAAGCACTGAAAAAGATGCATGAGCCGAAAGGCACCGATGTACAAGTGGCTGGAGGCGGAGTTACAAACATTGATGTCAGCGACTTCGAAGATATGGACGCAGTGAGGGGCAGCAAGAAAGGATCAAAGGGCAAACAGTTAATTCTTCTTCTTGTCGTCATCCCGTTGGGCGTTGGCGGCCTGGCTGTATGCTTAATCTTCATAAATTACCACTGTAAAATGTGCTGAAATGCGCCAGATCCGACAGCACTCAGACAGCGAGGTTGGTCACTAGTCATCTGTTGCATCAAAGCGGATGACAAGCATTAGTCTGCTCGTTACCAGCAGATGTTCTTCCCGGTCAGACGACAGACGCGTAATGCATTCACAAGAGCTACGTTTGCATCAGCCGTACCTATGAATTTGCCACCGGGCGCTTACCGCCACACAGCATCTCTTGTGGATGCTTATTGTCGGTTCTTACAAGACACAAAACAAGAACGCGAATGTTAGTGAAGCCGTTGTACATTTCGTTCGACAACAAATGGAAGTTTTAACGTATTCTCAAGCACAAGCAGCGAATGAAACGCTATGACAATCTAACCGTTTTTTTCTTGTCATTTATACTTCTTTTGCTCTTTAGGCATCTGTTTCAAGTTCAAAGAAGCTGTAAAGACGAGAGTCTGTTATCTCAATTCTTCTGACATCATTTATAGTTACTAGAATAAAATAATCGTAGTGTAAAGATCAATTAGTTGGGCTCTTGCATTCGTGGAAGTTCAGTGCGTAAACGACGTAACAGTCCAGAATTTTTTTATTCACTGTGAATGATTCTCTTACTGTACAGTTGGAGGCTTAATAACATGTTACTCTGATGCGCATGCACAAGATAATCGCCTTGAAAGGCCATAATTTCAATCAGTGTCAACGATCGCTAATGCCTGCACAGGCAGATGCGTCATTCAGTGTCTCCGATTCTATGCGAGCGTTAGACTTTCGTCAGAGAAAACCCGAATCTGGACCAGACCCTATCGATACACTTGCCAGAAGTTATTTTTGATCGACCCCAGGGTATTCGGCCGGTCACAATGGCAAGTAGTAGCTTTTCAGCTTCCTTTACGAAAGCATTCGCAAGTCGCGCCCAAACCGTCGCAGCTGTGACTCAATCAGGAGAAGCAGCGTCTGTATACCAACACTTCCTCAGATATTTATTTATTTTCCAGTCCATAATCACACACGTGAGACCAGCGATTCCTCTCAGGAAGCCCATTTCAATCACTTTTATCCCGGATCGAAGATTTTCGCCCCACTACTCATGGCCGTAGGTGAACATGGCGATGAAGAATTACTTGAACACAAAGAGCTTAGTCCTCAGACTAAGCTCTCCCACAGTTACAGCTGTTCAGCAAAACGCCACAGGTCATCTCAACTCACTAAGAGACCTCTTCCTCTGATTTTCCATCAGTCGCAACACGACCTTG